TGATGTCTGTTTTGTATTAGAGCTATATAGTGTGTTGATTTGTAGTCAAGGGCATCACTGTGATTCAGTTATGATGTCTGTTTTGTATTAGAGGTATATAGTGTGTTGATTTGTAGTCAAGGGCATCACTGTGATTCAGTTATGATGTCTGTTTTGTATTAGAGCTATATAGTGTGTTGATTTGTAGTCAAGGGCATCACTATGATTCAGTTATGATGTCTGTTTTGTAAGATTAAGTTCTGAAGTACTTAACTATAGGGATCATGATGAAACAAAATGGCTGTCACAAGGATCACCCATGGTAGATATCAAGACTGTTTGTTTTAAGAGTTATTAGTTATTTTATTTAGTGATTTAATATTTAATGATTATTTGGTTTTCATAAAAAGAACGTTAAAAGTTAATTATTTTAAAGGTGATAGCTATGACAAATTTCATTATGTAACTAAGAGTTGTACGTTGTATGTGTAGTTCAGTTGTTGTAATTTGATGTCACATTACTCAGCCCCTTTGTATTTTTCTTGTTGCCTTAAGTGAGTATTGTTACATCATTGTGTCTCTTAGTTTGTATAAAGCTCTGGGCATCAGTTGGGCAGTGTGTGTATGTATAGTGGTGGTGAAAATTGTGTAGAGATTACAATCATGTACACAGATTTTGATAAATTGATAGAAAAAGGTGAGCGTCTTGGGCTGAAAGATGATGAACTATGAGAGTTTGTTAAACAACAACATGAACTAGAGAGAGAAGAGCATAGTCAGAGAAGAGAGGAAGAAAGACAAAGTAGAAAGTGAGAGAAAGGAGAGACTTGAAATAGAGAGGATAAGAAAAGAAAAAGAAAAAAGAGAGAGAAGACAGAGAGAGAAAGAATAAGAGCATAAATTGTGAAAGGAGAAAGAAGAGAGACTAGAAATAGAATAAGAGCACAAATTGAAATCATCAAGCTCCCCAACAGAAAGAAAAATAACCCCAAAATGACAATGGGGTCAGGGCCAGTGGACCAAAGCTGCCATAATTTGATGAACAGAAAGACAACATGAATGTTTTCCTGGAGAGATATGAAAGATTCTCCCTAAGTCAGAACTGGGACAAAGGACACTGGGCTGTCTGTTTTGGCCCTCTTCTCATAGGAAAAGATCTACAAGATTATGCAGGCATGATGTCAGAAGATACCATTGACTATAACAAGTTAAAAGTGGCCTTGCTGAAATGCTATGAACTTACTGAAGTAGGTTTTTGCCAGAAATTGAGAGAAGTCAAACCAGACACTGGAGGAACTGTATTTCAGTTTGTGGCACATCCACAGTGATACTTCACAAGATGGACTGGTGTGGCCAAGTGTGAAAATAGTTTTGAGGGACTGGCAGATCTATTAATATGTGAACACATGCTCAACTAACATGTCACTTTTTCTAAAGGAAATAGCACCAAAAGACATGGAAGAGATGATCAAGTTGGCAGAACAGTATATTGAAGCCCATGGAGGGAGTATAACTAGCGAGCCTAAAAATAACCAGTTAAAGTTGAAACCAGGGGAGATTGAAAAGAAATTAACAGACAAATGGGAGAAGAGATGCTATATTTGTTATAAAATAGGGCACATTACAAAGGAGTGCAAGTCCATCATGAACAAGCAAAAGCATAAATATCAACATAGAGCAACTGGAGCTACTTACAGAGATGGTACTAGCAAGAAACAAGAAAAAGTGACTGTCAGCAAGGATGCGGCTGCCAGAAGAAACAAAATAGAGACAACACGTCATACTTACTACAAGAAGGAAGTGCTATTTCCATAATTAATCAGTGCACAACTGATGGTCAGCTCAAGTTAGCAAATGGATCAACAGTATCAGCAGTGATTGGAGCATGTGACAAATATCGAGAGGTGACAACAAATCACAGCATGCCAGTAGGCGAAGGCTATGTCGGGGACAAGAAAGTGAAGGACCCACTGGGTGCTGGAGTGCAGCAATGAGAACCAGTCTAGTATCTGATGATCAGATGACGGGCAAGGTATGCTTGTGTGTTCTGATTGATGGGACAGTGAGAAATTTTTTCATTGCAAAAATAAAGGTGGATACTCCATACTACATGGGATATCTTGAAGTCGTATGTATGATGGCACCAATATTGACTTGGCAAATGTAAACATATCAGAAAATAAAAATTTGGAGGAACTAGACAAAAAGAAGACTGCTGAGACATCTTTTGTCACCACAAGAGCTCAAAGGAAGAAGAGCAAGCAAGACATCAAACCCCTGCAGGTATCAAAGAGTGACATCTCTAATGTAGGTCTGTAGGAACTGAAGAATGTGTAGAAGAAAGACCCTTCACTGCAGAAACTTTGGGAGAGTAGAGGATCAGAAAGGAGTACAGTACCAGATCTATAAAAGCAGTTCTACTGTGGAAGTTAAACCCATCAAAGGCAGTCAGAAACACTTCTTTAACAAGAAGAGGTACTTTTAGAGGTGCAGTTATTGAGGCACTCAATGAATAGGGATATGTCATTGAAATAGAATCTGAAGACATTGACTTTGTTATAGAAGATTAAAGACCTACTAGTACGAAGACCAATTGGGTGGAAATCAGACAAACCAAGATGTCAACATAAATGAAGAATTGATTGGCAAGAAAGACCTGTGGGAGCAACTGTGCCAGTAACAGATGGACCAGACAAAACAGACCTTGGGCAACACAAAATCAAGATGAAGACAAAGAATCCGGTCAAGGTAAAGCCCTACCAGATGCCTTATGAGAAGAGAGACCAATAAGGAAACTGCAAATGCTGGTGCAGACCATAGAAGGAGGCTTTATGTATGAACTGAGAACAGTCTTTGTATATATAGTAAAAAAAAATAGATCACAAATATTTTTATTGAATGGGGGTTTATTGTTGGATACACAAGACTGTTTAGTTTAACAGTTATTATTTAGTTTTTTTAGTGATTTAATATTTAATGAGTATTTGGTTTTCATAACGAGTTTTAAAAATAATTATTTTGAAGGTGATAATTATGACAAATAACTTGGTTAAGAGTCATATGGTGTGTGTGTGTGTGTTTGTGTAATTCAATTGCAATTTAATGTTACGTTACTTGAACCTTCCATATTTTTCTTGTTGCCTTAAGTAATTAATGTTGCATTGTAGCATCTCGTAGTTTTAGAAAGCTCTAAACCTCAGTTGGGCAAGGTATATATACAGGTGACCAAGTGAGGGCAAATTAAGTTAGAAAAAGTTATGTTAAAATGAAAGTGAAGTTAGATTGCGTGATTGTTAATTTAGCTGTAACAGGCAATATTTAAGGTAAGTTTCACAGTGGTATTCTAATAACAGAGATAAAGGAGAATAATTTGTCTTATCAGAGGGTGTTCTAAAGTACTTGAACCAGCCTGTGTGGACTTTTACGAAAAGGAAGTGATTATTTGAAGTTCTGGATACAACAGTGGTTATCCATGGGGTAACATAAGTGAATGTATTGCAGACTGTGCAGTAAGAAACAGAATAGACAAAACTAATTTGTCTTGTCAATTGGCTTCTAAAACAATTGAACCAGCTTGTGTGGACTTTTGACAAAAAATAATAATTATTTAAAAGTTTTAGATACAACAGTGATACCCTATAGTGTGAATAATTTTAGTACATACATTTGACTTGTTTTGAATATATTATTTTAAAACAAGTGGATTGTTTACTGTCCACTTATTGTTTGAATTTATTGCTAACAAGTCACAGACACCCACTGTAAAGAATCTGGCCCCATAAAACCTGACATCCCATTTAAAACCACCTTTAATATGTTTCAATATTAACAATGACTATATCTCAGTGCTGGTTGAGCAAAACTAAAGTTTATTGGACATATAAAGCCACCTAATTTGCTATATACGTGTTTATGGAGTGAATTAAAATTCACAGTATCAACAAATTTTCATTCTTGATGTTAGAAAAACATGTAGGTTCAAGAAGTCTTGATAGAAATGAATAAAAACCCAATAAACCGAGCACTTTCGAAAAGAAGACCTTTCTTTCTCAGGGACAAACTGTAAGTATGTAAGTAGCTATTTCAGACAAGCATACAGCAAAATTACGAACCTTATTGCTCTATTTCTTTTACAGAAATCTTTAGTCTGGGGTCCCAATGATTCCTTTCTTGTACCAAAAAGGATACTAATATACATATAATGCTTGGAGATGGCTTGATGATGACAAAACCTTGTTGAAACATTGTACATTTGCTGTTATGTTAAACTTATATTAATGTTTTTCTTCATTACCCATTCAAGCTGTCTCCAAGCGTTATTAGTCTCAAAGTGGGTTCCTCGTCATTGAATTAATATACATATATAAAAATGGATGTTGCCTTACTTTGGGCATATTGTTAGATTTGAGGGTAGGTTGGTAGAGATCCTGATGAATAATAAAATCAACATTGGTATACATATGCTCCACTTTGTTATTGCTGGTGCAGAAAAATGTAGCTAATAAAAAGGAAACAAAAGAGTATAAATTTTTAAATTTGATAATGATAAGTAAGGATTGATATACATATGTAAACTAGCTAGCTACAGTAATATACAAAGTTTTAAAGCTAGAAAAGGTATTGAAAGATGAAAGTCAAAACAACAAAAACTCAGTTACCTAAAATTAAAAATTTTTTATCCATACTTTGGCTCAGAATAACATAATTACAATGATTTACCAAATATATAGGTTAAGTTTAATGTGCTACATAATTTGTTGATTTGTAGTCATGGATATTACCATGATTCAGGTATGTTTTTTTTGTATTATATAGGTTAAGTTAATATTCTACATAGTGTTGAGTTGTATTAAAAAGTATCACTGTGGTTCATTTAAACTGTCTGTTTTGTATCAGAATTATATAGGTTAGGCTTATTATTACGTATAGTGTATTGATTTTTAGTCAAGGATATTACCGTGGTTTAGTTATGATGTCTATTTTATATTAAAGAGTTACATTATACATGTTTATTTTTATAGACATGCTGATGGCTCCTTAAAGTTTTGGGATGCCTCCTCAGGTAAGAATACATAAGAAAAATATATAACTTGTTAAGTTGCCTGGAGGTTAGGGCCCTCAACTTGCTATCTGTGGGTTATGGAATCAAAACCTGGTGCCATGGAGTGTTATATTGTAATGATCAGTCCAGTTATTGGTTGGTTAAGTGGTGGATGCAAATGGCTATTTGCTTTCCCTCTGGTAGGCAGTTACAAAGTAGGGATGATGCTACATAGCCTTAATAGTAGCTTTTCCTTTAACAAAAACAAGTAAAATTTGTTAAACTGTGTAATCATAGGTGAGTCTAGAATAATTTGTTAATACTTCAATTTTCACCATTTAATAAATAACTTTTTTCAGCATGATCAGGATTTCTTCATCTCTTTGTGTATATATAACTTTGAAAGATATTTCAATAAAATTCTATTTATAGATACCAGTTGTATATTTATGCTGGTAGTAATCTGATCTCTGTTGGGTTCTATACCAGAAAAATGTAATTTCTTAGAAAAATTATAAAATTTTTGTAATTTATTTAGGATATTTTAATTAATAGTTTTAGAATACTCCTCAAGAATAATGAAAGTTTCCGATAAGGTACTCTGTCTCCACTCACAAGATTAGGTTTTTCGTTTTGTGCAGCCATCTATTTGTGAACCTTTTCAGAAATGCACGCTACAAAACTTCATTCTCCCTCTGTTGGGATCCAAAGTTCAAAAAAATCTCTCATGCAAATCATCATGTGTCACCTCTTCACCAATAGGAGAGCACTACTATCACGTGAAGCATGTTACTCCCTCTACATGTTACTACCAAACTATCACTTCGAAGTTTTGTAGAAGACACAAGCACCAGAAGATTGTGGGGAGTACAGGTAGGAAGTGTGAGAAAAGGGAAGTAACTTTCAAAAATACATTTTCATTTAGGAAAATTGTAACTTCCAATAAGGTACTCTCTCTCCTCTCACAAAATTTGCTTGAATCCCACATTGGAATGGTGGAGTGACTGGTGCAAGGGAAGCAGAGGCATATCCAGAGGATACCCCCTGAAATGAGAGAAAAAAATCAGGTGATCTAAGGAGGGGTGCTGCACCACATCTGAGCCTCTTCACCAGGAACATCAACATATCGGAAAGACCATGCATGACAAACATTGAAGGGAGCACATCCATGTGAGAGAGGGTAGTTTGTGTGATCTTAAACAGTAATAAGAATCACTGAATCCCACAATGGGAAGTGAGGATGTGTCCCGGGTGTAGAGTGGCTAGGGCACAGGAACTCACAGGGTAGCCTAATGCCAGGGATGCAGGTATGTGTCATCCGTAATCCGAGGAAAGTCCGTTGCATGTGCTCAAAACCAGCCTGAAACGACCCCATGTTGGTAACAACCTCATCACCCGATGATGGAAAACCCAGAACACAAGTGGAAACAGGCTACATAAACCTTCTGTGACCCACAACACAAAAGACAAGTCAAGATGGAAGATAGACAACCCAAAACCTATGTGAGGACTTATGTGATTGATTCACTAGATCTCCAAAACCTCACTCACTGGGTACCGACATCTATGTGAGGGTAGGAGGAGGGCACCAAATCGGAGAGGTTAATTGCATTTTCAAATCTCAACTCTGGGAAATATTTACTCATCCAGAGGATCTTATAACTCCATCTACACCAGCAGAACAACACTGCCCTACTCTGAACTGAATGGTTATAGCCATCTTTGTGGAATCCATCCAGCAGGTATTCCCCATAGTCAAACATCCCAGTGGCTTAAAACTGGTAAGTGGTAAAGACTCTAGTACTCCACTGGAAGAAAGGGGGAAAAATGAGGTGGAGAGTCTGGAGAGACTGCAACACCTGAGACAGTGCAATAAGTGATCATCAAACTCTATTTTGAAAAGCAGACCACACTGATTTATTCAATCTAGGCATGGCAGGGAAGGGCAGCAATTCCCTTCTTTACTCATGCTGTCCATGGGTAGTACAGTCTGGGATGGGCATATTATGATGCAATTATCACAAGGAATTTACACTCTTGTGATCTTGTGAAACACCCCATCTCCAGGGTGAGGGTACAAAGCCATGGAAAATGTATAAGAATTATTATGGCTTACAGTGTAGATTTGAAAGAAAGATGTCTGTGAATGGTTATAGCCATCAAAGTGGAACCCATTCTGAGTACAGTGAGAACATCTGGTCAGGCACCACTCACCACAGAGCGGGGTCCAAAGTGTAGCTGAAGCAGGGACCTCTGAACGAAAAGAAAGCATTTTTGAGGAATTACCTCATGTCACAGCCGTGCCAAATTCTGTAGAATAGCTGCAGATTGAAGAATCCTTCTCATAGAGCCACTTGAGAAACTGAGGTACAGGCAATTGTTGGGTGAGAAGTCTGGAAACCCCAAGTTAATGCCCTAGAGTGATAAATGCTCCATTTGCATTGATAGACAGCCAAAAAAGAAGGGCAAATGGAACAGGCTAAATGTGGAGCTATTCTATGAGAGACATCTGAACTTCTTGCCAAGGACCTGATAAAAGTCAGGCATGAAATAGGAGGATGGAAGGCTCAGGATGGAGTGCTAGTGACTGGGGTTGACAGAGCAGGCCAGGACAGAAGGGAAGAGGAAGAACCACCTGTAGTTGGAGCAACTGAGAAAACCAAGGTTGAGCAGGCCAGTATGGAGCAATCAGAAGGAGAGTGCATGGAGTGGCATAGATGAGGGAAAGCACCTGATGAAGTGAAAGGATGGGAGGGTAAACATAAATAAACAGCTGAGACCAATCATGGCTCAAGGCATCGACAGTCAACGCCTGAGGATGGGGACTGGGTACCAAAACTGAGGTAATTATTGATTGAGGGCAGTGGCAAAGGCATCGATATGGGGTATACCCAGATGCAGACAGAGGCACCAAAAAACAGTAGGATGCAGGGACCACTCCATGGGATATACACATGATCTGGTCAGAAAAGACGATTGGCTATGAGATTTAAAGCACTCGGTACATGACACACCATCAAATGGATGTTATGTGTGTAGGCCCAATAAAGAAGATCCATAGTAAAAAAAACAAAGGGATGTGGACCTGATGCCACCTTGGTGATTGATATAAACCACAGTGGTAGAATTGTCAGAATGGATCATAACCAGCTGGAAGCTGGCAAGAGGTAGAAAGTGATCAAAAGCCCATCACACAGCTAAGAGTTTAAGAACATTGAAGTAAAGAGAACTCTCCTTCACACACCCAAAACCTCCTGGAGATCCACCCAGGTACCATTGCTCTGAAGGGGTGCATCCATGAACAGATGTAAATCTGGCCACAGAGGAGAAAGCAGGACCCCACTGACATGTGGGTCCTGTTCAACCACCAATGGAGATCATCTACAAGGGAATGGATATAGAAGTATCCTAGGCACGGTTCCATTGAAGAAACTGCATAAAGACCCTGCCCAGGGGTATGAGAAGGGTAATGGTGAACCACATCCCCAAAAGTGAAAGAATCTCACAAACTGTAAGTGAGGGAGTTTTCTGAATGGTCTGTTTCATAGAATGGAACTAGAGAGGAGAAGGTTGGGCCCAATTGAGATGGGTTTTGAGGAAAGGTATTAGATAGGATGAAGGAAAGACTTCTTTAATTTGACCAACCATCTCACCTGCATAGCTTCAGCCAGGAGCTGACAAGTGTGACAGGCTGATTTCCATTTGGAATGAGCAAGAAGAAGCCAGTCATCCCTATAAAAATGGAAGCACAACCCAATGGCATGAATATGTCAAGGAAAAGAGCAGACCATACAACAAAACATGTATGGTGCTGAAGCTAGATCAAAAGGTAAGGCACAAAACTGGTACACAACCCCTCAATGAACAAACCAAAGATATGGATGGGAATGTTCCACCACAGAAATGTGTAGGTAAGCATTGGAAATGCCCACCAAAGAGAAAGGTATGTCTCCATGGTAAAGCAAGGAGTGTGAACATACTGATCAAGACAGGATGCCAGTCTCGAGTCTTCTTGGAAACCACAAACAGGTGGGAGTAAAATCCCCCTGAACCTGGTGGAGCTGGTTCAATAGCCTGTTGTGCTGTGAAGTTTGGAACTGCCTCTGACAGATGCTGGTGTGTCAAGGGATCCTGAGGAGAAGGAGAGGTAATGGGAACACTAGATAAGGGAGGATGAGAGAGAAAGGGGTTAATGTATCCCTCTGAGAGCACTCTATTAATCCAGACATTGGTGAGGCAAGTTCCCCATCAGTGAACAAAATTCAATAAACGAGCCCCCCAATGGTCCAGAACTGACCATGTAGTCACTGATACTGTTGGCAGATTGTGCATTGTCAATTAAATCATCAAACCATGGCACCACAGAAAGATGTTGAGAAGGAGAAGGTCAGGGGACAGAAGTCAGTGCTGTGCTCAGTCCCAACTGTAACAAACAAGCTACCAAGTTAGTAAGGGTAGAAGGTTGATGGGCCAAGGCCACTCTAAAGATTAATGGAACTGAGTCAAACACATAATACAGCAAAAATAGTCTGGTGACAGGTCTGTACCAACACTACATCACGGCCCAAGAGGTCCCAAGAAACAAACAAACAAACCACATTTGAAGCGCGAGAGTCAAAGACAACAGATGAGCCAATGTAGAAGTAAGGATGGAGAGGGTTTCAGCACAAAATCCCTCAGGGTTCCTGTGAAGAGTCCTTGACTGAAGGTGAAGGGAAGAAAGGTACCTTAACAGGGTCATGAGGGTGAAGGTGAGAAAACTGGGCTTGGTTATGTTGAACAGGGTGTTCTGGGCTAGCCCACCAAACAGGAAGAACCAACCCTAACATCTGTTAGTCGAGAAAGGGAAAGTCCGCCCGATGATAAGCAAGGACAGACTGATCCAAAGTCAATAGAGGACAAGGCATATTAAATGCCCTCCCCCAGTTGAGAGGCAAGTTGTTTCACATAGACTAAATATTGGGGAACAGGGGAAATACTAAATAGGGTCGGGAAGTTGTTTCATGTAAGAGGGAAGGTCTAGAGTCATAAGATATAAGAGACAAAACACAACATACCTGAGAGATAAAGTCTGAAAAGACCAATGACTGATGAGCTGAATCATCAGGTTGTATAAGGAAAATCATGGCAAACACCGAGGGGGGGGGGACAAACGATTAAAATAGTCTTCATCCTAGCCCAACCTGAAAGGCTCAGGAGGAAGTTAGGTCGAAGTAGGCAAAAGAGGTTGGCTTATATATCGCTCGATCTCCCAGAAAATGAGTGACGATATATCCCCTGATGGGTCTTCCGCACCTGTAACTGAAAATACAGCATCAGACACTGGCAAAGTACCAAAAGTGGTGACTGTTACTTTGGAATTCCTGAGTGGGAAACATGAGGAAGTAATGTTTTATTAAAATATTCATTCCACAAATGTGAAGTGTAGTAAATAAAGTGTAAAAAATGTCCATATGAAAAAAAATAAACCACTTCAAGGTAACTGAACAATGTAAAAAAGAATATCTGAATTTGACAGTTTGGTAATTTCATTTAGGAAAATTATAACCAACATTTACTTCAATTTAATGTCATTGTTCAAGAAAATAGATTCACAAATTGAAATATGTATAATTAATTTATGTTTTAGTGGGCTTTGTTTAAAGTAGAATACATTTTAATTTGTTATTATATAGCATAGTAGCTTTTGTTGACTTAAACAATTCACATACTATAAATTATAGACATTTTATTTTAATGTTTGAGTAAAGTCAGCTAGTTCATTATTACTGAATCTTATTATAATGTGATGTATATGTCCAAAACTCGAATCTTGGAAACTATTACACTGATCATCACCAATCATAACTGGGTAATATTTTTATAAATAGGCAATGTTTTTATAGCTGAGTAATAAATTTAAGAATTGAAATTTCCACAAAAATGATATGTTTCAGATTTAACCAATAAAAATTATAAAAAAGGAGAAAGTTTCAAATATAAAACAATCAAAAGACAAGCTTTAAAAAATTATTTGTTTTTTCTTTAGTCAAAATCTCATGAGTGTTGCTGCAGAAAAGCAAGGCACTTTCATTGATAACGGTGTCTACAAAGAAATACTTCAATAAAATCTACTCTGTGATGTAATGCTGTGATGATAGCTCATTTTTAAACTAAGATTTCAATAAAATCCTTTTTCTCATGGATGGTGAACATTATTGAATGTCAAGTATGAGTACATTGTTGTAGAACTGTCAGACAATTCCAGATAAAACCACAGGCCCAACAGCCTTCTGCAGGAGCGAGCAATTATACTTGCCCGGAGGGTGGGTATTTCTGCTAGTTTCTCTTAACTTAGCTTTATACACTTATGCAAATGTGAATAAGCAAAACCTACATTAATCTAGATATTTCATCCTTTTGTGCCTTGGGCCACATAAACTAGAGCACATGTACCACTATAATTGAATTTTGGAGCTTCTAGGGCTTTACTATAGAAAATATAAGTATTTTTCATTCAGGATTTATAATGAATATTCTATTTATTTTAAATTGTTTTAAACATTTAGTACTTTGCCTGAAGAAAAGTAATCATCATAAACATTTACTCTTTTAGTTTCCCTTCAGTTTCTATACAAATTGAAGTCTTCCAAAGTTTTTGAACAACCAAAGGCAGAAAATACAGATTACCAGGAAGATGAGCCATTTGCTATTGAACAGATTTGTCTTTGTTCAGAGAGCAGAATTCTGTGTGTAGCTGGAGCGTCCCCGTGACCTCGATGACGCAACAATATCTATCATTTTTCATTTACTGCATGGTAGCAACATTTTAATGCAATATTGCATTTTATTTTTCAGTCATTTATAATTCTACTCAATAGAAAACTTTTATGTAAAATTATAATTTTAAATGTATGCATCATTAGAATATTTCACTGTCTGATATTTCAGAATGCCAGGCTGTTGACAAAAAAGAAAGTCAGTTACGTTATCAGTGCACAGTCAAACTGTGAAAATGTCGAAGTTAAAGTCAAAAGAAATTGGCTGTTATTTATAGTACAGCTGTAATTAAAACAGAGACATTGTTAAAAAAATCTGGTGTTCTGTATGTCATGACTTTGCCAAAGATAAATCATCTTTGTTTCCCAGTGGAACAGAAAATATTAAAAAGAAATTTGCTAAAATACATTTTTTGTCAACACTTCAAAGTGATGCATTGAAAATTCAAAAAGCAAAAATGTGTATTGACAAAAAATTAAAGCAACAGTTATGCTAAAGGGTTTGAACCAAATGAAAAAGGGTACTGTTGAGAAAATGTTTAAGTTGTTCCAAAATGCTTTTAACGTTGCCTTTTATGAGGAGTTTTTTACACATTTTGCATAATTATTAGACTTACAGAATTTAAATGGTCTAGATACTGGAAAGAGCTACAAAAATGATAAGCAGTGCAAGTTTTTTATTGACAAAATAACAGGAATATATCATGATGAACTGAAAAATATATTGAAAACTCTCACTATTTTTCTGTTTTGTGTCACTCAAGTACTGACAAAAGTAATTTAGAAAAGGAAAGAGTTTATGTGAGAACTATGTATGAAAGAAATCCAAAAATGTTATATCTCAAGCTATTTGATCTTAAAAGCACAAAAGCTGATGGCGCTGTTCAGGCCTTATATGAAGCCTTTCAAGTTAGTTAAATCAGCTAGCTTTAAAATTGTAATATTCAACTTTCTCCACAACTGTACAAGTTTTACATCGAAATATCAATGAATCTGCTAAAAAACACAAGAAATGACTTTAACGTAGATTTATCAGAAACAAACCATAAATGATCCACTGAAACTTCAACAGAAAATAAATGGTAATAGAACTAATTTAACAGAAACTAATAATAAATTACTTTATTGCAGCTTTAACAAGAATAAAAAATAAACTACCTTTCTTATATTCAGTAACATAACAGGGCCATTTGTTCTTTCTCAACATGTGCTCAGTCAATTTGGTCAACCAGATGACCTCTTTGTACTCGATTAAAGTATTTACAGATTTGAAACTACTAACTTTTAATATAGTATGTATAGCATAAAAACTTAGCTAGTAATCCATATTTTAATGGTATATACGTTTTAAGATTTTAATTTTATAAGGCAAAATTTAAAGAAATCCTGAATTTTCCCTAGTGTGGCAAGTGACATTTTCTCAAGGCACGTCCTCTTCTTTATTTTATCTACCACCCCTAGATTACAGAGCTATCAAATAGAAAATCAGGCCCCTCTTACCACACCCACTTGTCACACCCTCTCTTTCAGGATTTGTGAATAGTTCTCTCTTACATTTAATTCTATATTACCTGTAACCAATATAAAATCAAGGTTTTCATCTATCAAATAGCATAATATAATACATTGTGTTCTGAACAGATCATTGTCAATTTCTCTTTTAATACAATGCACAGCTAGAAAGCCAGAAAAATTGTAATTGTTAGAAGAAAACGTCTGCTTCTTGCATGTTATTATTCTATGTTCTTTGGTACATTATTTAATTAACTAAAAATTACTTAATGCACTACTACTATTAGTCTAAAAAAGTAGGATTAAGTTTAATCGACAGTTGACAGGAAAAAAAAAGAATACTCATATAAGTACTTTATTTCTTGTTTTTAATGTTTATTCTACATATATTATTATATAAGTAACTAAAATGTAAAAAAAGGGATCTCTTTAAGCTAGTAAGGTTAGATTAGGTAAAATAAATAATAATAATATAATTTATAATAATATAATAAAGAAATTTCACGAGCATTTGAGTTCCACATTCCCAAGTGATTTACAAGTTACAATGGCACGAATAGTTGTTAGTCATGGTTCAAAGGGCAATAAAACAATAAAATATAATCATAAATAGATGTATACTGTTACGAGTTTAAAGCTACTTAAGATAAACAAATGTAGTTTCATGTTACAAGTTGAAGTAATTCTTGAAAGAAAAAAGGGTAATTTATGGTTACGAGGTCAGTCAAATTGACCAATGCCATTTAGAGTTATGGTAGAGAAAATAACAGTTAAATTACAAGGTATTACTGAAAACAAAAGTTTGAAGTGTATTTAGGAAGTTTTAGAGATTACACAAATGAAATTTGATATTTTTGAGATGAAGTATTTTTAAAGCACTTTGCACATGGACTAGTAAAAAAAAAATACTCAATATCTTCACAGACAAATCTTTTTTAGTATATTTAAAGTGTTTCATTAAAAAATATGACTTTTTGTATGTGAAAGACTTATAATGTTTACTGAAAGACTGCCAAATGTTGTAAAGACATACATACTATATCAAAGCTAGTAGTATCAAATCTACAAAGACTAATTGAGCACAAAGAGGTCATGTGGTCGGTCAAATCGACCGAGCCCGCGTTTATAAAGTTACTATATAAATCTATAATCAAGTAACAATAAAAGTAATAGATGCTTTTGTAGCTTCAAAAAATAACAACAAATGAATGAATTAGCTATAACCTTTAGAGAAATGGACAGTTAAAAACTTACTGTAACTTGACAGTCAGTTTCTTGTTGGTTGAAAGTGAACATAATAACATGAGACCCTTGGTGTGGCGCCCTCTAGTTTCTAGAACTATCTTGGTTCT